ACGCGAGTATCTCTTTGGAGCTTGATTCTTACTTTTATCTCTATTCATAGTGCACCAGTTCATGAGCGCCATAGGCCGTGAATGCTCCGTCGTCAACCTCGATCCTGCAAACGACAAGACCAACTACCCATGCGCCCTAGATATTCGCGACCTAATCACACTCGAGGAAATCATGAGCGATGACCAACTCGGACCCAACGGTGGCATATTATATGCCTTTGAGGAGCTGGAGCACAACATGGAATGGCTTGAGAATGGATTGAAAGAGCTAGGGGATTCATATATCCTATTTGATTGCCCCGGCCAGGTCGAGCTATACACCCATCACAACTCACTTCGGAACATCTTCTTCAAGCTCCAAAAGATGGACTATCGGGTTCGTGCTTCCATTGATTATGCTGTTTGGGCTATACTGATTTACTGACACCAACACAATATAGCTAGTAGCAGTACATCTTTCAGACAGCTTCTGCCTGACACAACCATCTCTCTATATCTCCAACCTACTCCTAACCCTCCGCGCGATGCTTCAGATGGACCTCCCTCATATAAATGTCCTCACCAAGATCGATAAGATCTCTTCATACGATCCCTTGCCCTTCAATCTCGACTACTACACCGAAGTACAAGACCTAACGTACCTAACGACGTATCTTGAGGAAGAGTCGACTGTGATGCGTAGTGACAAGTTCCGTCGGTTAAATGAGGCGGTTGCGAACCTGGTCGATAACTTCTCTCTAGTTCGGTTCGAAGTCCTGGCCATTGAGAACAAGAAGAGTGTGATGCATCTTCTTCGAATCATCGATAGAGCTGGCGGATACGTGTTTGGCGGCGCAGAGGGTGCAAACGATACCATTTGGCAAGTCGCCATGCGCAATGAGGGTTCCATGATGGAGGTCCAAGACATCCAAGAGAGATGGGTGGATGCGAAAGATGACTATGACGAGGCTGAGGAGAAGGATGATGAAGCCCAACGCAAGAGGATGGGTGGTGACACAGGAGCCACAACACCGGATCTGATCCCAGACGATGACGATGATGAATTCGACGGGATGCCGCCTCCCACAGGCGACAGTGGAATTAAGACAGTACGTAGGAAGCAATGAACTGTCTTCAGCCGTCACTTACTTCGCCCATTTCCACGTCGCTATCGTCATCATCGGCGTCTGGTAAGTCTTTCATGGCTACTTCATGTTGCGACTTTTCTGGTTTGCCGAATATGTTGCTGAACGGATCATCAGTCTTCTCCTTATTGTCGTTCTGCGCCGCGAAGATAAGAGATCGAGCGCGACGAATAGCTTCCTCTTCGACTTTGCGCATGGTACCGCTCACATGAACAACACGGAAAACACATGGTTTTCCACCCCTGACGGGAATGAAGTTCATGAATGTAAGGGCAGACCATACTAAGCGATAGGAAGATCGCGATATTTTCAGAATGAATGTCGAGGTGGCGGGAGATAAATACTTGACTAATAAGAATAATAATGTAAGCTCCGTGTTAATGGTGAGTCTCACGTCGCTGACTCACCAGTTAGATTTCCGCCTTCCACAGCTCCTGAGCCGTAGTCTCCGAACAAACTGGCTACTTCGGCGCGTATCGCCCTCAGAAGAGCCGAAGCATTGAGTTGGTCGGTTGTAGGTTGGTTGATCACCACAACGTCCGGGAGCTCAGATCGCGAACCCAGATCATGCGGGTAGAGGATTTTTACTAAGAGGTAACGCTCCTTGATTCGGACCATATTGTTGATATTTCGGAGTGGTATGATTCTTACCCACTGAGAACCATCAGATTTCAAGGCTTTGACATACCGGTATTTATTAATGCCATAACTTTTATTAGTAACAGTAAAGGTTCAAGGTGTTCAAATCCTCGAAATTTCCACGCGACCAGAGCTTGATCTTATCGTAACTTGGTGGGGCTCTTGGGTGCGACCGTGCACAGTGTTAGCAACACCTCTTTGCACTAACACTGTATGACATATTACCCCTTCATGGAAAACAATGCTATTGTATTCGAATCTCATACTCGACCCAACCTTGTTTGTAAAGGTCACAATGCCATTGTCTTTTACCATGATTGTAAGGAACAATTGACTTTGATCCTTTTTCTCTTCAGCTAACATGTAATATTTAATAAATAACTTAGACTGATTCTTTATATCATTGACAACTAAGTGTTCTCATTAATAGACTACAAGTCAAGGTGGATGTATACTCACCCCGCATCTGCACTGTACAAGCGAAGCTTCTCTTATACATCACGCCAGCTCGAGACCGACTTAGTCTGGGCCTTTACTTAAGCAAGTTGACTCAAATTAATTATTATCTTGAAGTTCTATCAGTTCCATATCTGTGATAGATTTATATTTCTGATTAATTTGTAATTCCCAAGTAACAAGTCGACAACCATGTCGAGTACAAATAAACTCAAGGTCGCATTACTCATCGTCTCTACGACAGCAGCGAGAGACCCCTCAACAGACGCTTCACAGGGAGTCCTAAGCGATGTTATTGAGGAAGAGGGCGATGGGAAATGGAACCTCGTTGATACAAAAATCGTCCCCGATGTAGCTACTCAGATTCAACGAGAGATTATGCGATGGACCGATGTTGCGGCAGATCCCATCAATCTCATTTTGACTACAGGAGGTACTGGGTTCGCAGTGGCAGATAACACACCTGAGGTATGCAATATTAACTTCCTTTTCTTTCGGTAATGGCGGCACAACTAACTCAATATAGGCAGTTTCAGCTCTACTTCATAAATCTGCGCCTGGCATTGTACATGGCATGCTGGCGGCTTCTTTAAGCGTCACTCCATGTTAGTAAATTGACCCTACAACAATAAAAACTTTTGCTAATATCTAATAGTTGCCATGATGTCCCGCCCAGTCGCGGGCGTCAGGAATAAATCCATTATAATCACACTTCCAGGCTCGCCAAAGGGAGCTCGGGAAAACTTACAGGCGGTTCTAAAAACACTACCTCACGCATGCCTCCAAGCTGCTGGAGTGGACTCGAGGACGTTACATGCAGGTGGGGTGAGAAAACTTGAAGCAGAGGCAGGTATAAAATCCGACGCAGGTCACTCTCATGCGCATTCTCATTCCCATGGTCATGATCACGGAAGCAGTCATCAGCATGGCCATTCTCATGGGCACAACCATGGCAACTTGGTCAGGCATACAGCACCCAGCTCAAATCTAATTTCCAATGATCCCAATCTTGGTCCTAGCCGGAGGAATCGAGAGTCACCATATCCAATGCTTTCCGTCGATGATGCCTTAGGCAAAATTAAGGAGTATACACCATCGTCAGAAATCATCACGTCCAAAGTGGACAGGTCACTACCCGGCCACGTCCTAGCAGAAGATGTCCATGCGAGGGAGAATGTTCCAGCCTTTAGAGCTAGTATTGTCGACGGTTACGCAGTCGTCGTACCCAAGGACGGAAATCTAAAGGGCGTATTTCCCGTCGTCGCTATATCCCATGCTGCTCCAGGCGAAGTGAAACCCTTAAAAGAAGGTGAAATTGCTAGGATCACCACGGGAGCGCCACTTCCCCCTGGAGCCACATCCGTCATCATGGTTGAAGACACGGTTCTAAAAACGATGACTGAAGACGGCAAAGAGGAGAAGGAAGTCGAAATCCTCGCCGACAACGTGCAGGAAGGGGAGAACATCCGCGAGGTCGGAAGTGACATCAAGGCCGGCACAACCATCCTCAGCAAAGGCGAGCAGATCTCGGCGGTTGGCGGCGAGATCGGCCTCCTGGCTGCCGTCGGCGTCGCAGAGGTGAAGACCTACCGCAAGCCGATCATAGGGGTGCTATCCACAGGCGACGAGATCGTGCAGCACGACCGACCGGGCGACTTGCGACTGGGCGAAGTCCGCGACACCAACCGCATCACCCTCATGTCCGCGGCGCGGGAGCACGGGTACGAAGTCGTCGACCTCGGGATCGCGGCGGACAAGCCCGGAACGCTGGAGGAGACGCTGCGGGACGCCATGCGGCGCGTCGACCTCGTCGTCACGTCGGGCGGCGTGTCGATGGGCGAGCTGGATCTCCTGAAGCCGACCATCGAGCGGTCGCTCGGCGGGACCATTCACTTCGGTCGCGTGTCCATGAAGCCCGGGAAGCCGACGACGTTCGCCACCGTCCCCGTGAAGAACAATGCCGGCGAGCGAGTTACCAAGGTTATCTTCTCCTTGCCGGGCAATCCCGCTTCGGCCATCGTCACGTTCCACCTCTTCGTCCTGCCGTCTCTGCACCAGATCTCAGGCATCTCGCCCGCGGGCCTGACAAAGGTGCCCGTCACGCTGGCGCACGACTTCGTCCTCGACAAGGCGCGGCCTGAGTATCACCGTGCCATCGTCACGGTGGGCAAGGATGGGAATCTGATTGCGGCCAGCACGGGCGGCCAGCGGAGCTCCAAGGTTGGTAGTCTGAGAGGAGCGAATGGGTTGCTGTGCTTGCCTGCTGGCAAGGAGCCGCTTCGGAAGGGAGCGAGGGTCGATGCGCTTTTGATGGGTGGTGTTAGGATTGAGGTCTAAGTGCAAACGTTCTCCTGATCTTATATAAATATTCTGATGATATTTGAATTCCCATCTTGACTACCTACTTGCTTACATAGGTACCTAGCTTAGTGATTTATTTATCTTACATAGAAATTTATAAACATTACCAATTCCCGAAGCCATCCGAACAGACTCGTTTCATGTCAACTTTACCTAGCATAAGTGTGTTGCTTTACCTAAGGGTAGTAACAGTATTAATAATTACCTACACTAACAAGACCGGTACGCAGTTAGTCAATACCCAAGTGGGCTTGCTTGTCTTCGCTTAGCTAGGGCAATCCATCCGCGGGACCCATCGTCAACGTAACTAACTCATTAATCCCATATAAACCAACCCAGCCAGTCGAAATTTCAACAACCAGAGATTCAATTGTTTCGGGAGTTTGTCACTTACGAGAGAGTTACTCCTCCCCAAAAACCGGGCTTGTGGTTTAGTGGTATAATACTCGCTTAGCATCTCATCCCATCTCTTCTCTCGATTAGAGGATTGGGAATGTTATGAACTGTGAGTGGTCCGGGGTTCGATTCCCCGCGAGTCCATCTTTTTGAGGCTCGGTCCTCTTGTATGTATGAATTTTTTTCGGTTGAAATGGGAACCGTCGAATTTTTTGCTGTGTCTCCAATCTACAATGTCAACTAGAGATATATGATGAGTCGATCCTTTCTTGACATACTCTTTCCTGATTACTGAAGCTATATACATGTGTCTGTTTAGTTGTAATGAATATCTACCTGGCTAGGCACGGAAGTTTAGTCGGTAGGTGGGCAAGGAAGATACTTACAACTTTTAGAAGCTGTTCGCATAACTAATATATCACATAGTACATAAAGATTAATATTGTTAGGTGTATTCTAAATTTTCTAGCAGGATATAACCAGTCTAAAATCTAAGTGCTAGATAAATGTTATGTGCTTCCTTTAAGCTGATGAGCGCCGTCGTAAATGCTCAGTCTATCGATGCGCGGAATATCATGAAATCATTAGCTTCGTCCAAAACCTTTCCACCCTTCTATACTGACGCCCAGTATCCCAATATATGCAATAGATAAGAACAATCTTCCTAAAAAGACCCAAACATTGGCATCTCAAATGCCAACTATACCTTAGAGAGCAAGCTTCGAGGACAACAATTACTCTGCTCTAGCCTCTTCGCTTTGCAAGCACGCCCTGGGGTTCCTTGCTTTCGTACTGTCGTTTACTACGATGTTCGAACGTGTTTCCTTGGAACCCAAAGAAGCTGCACAATTCCCATCACCGCAACACCGGCACAACTGAACCAAGCAGCAGCAGATCCGCCAGCACTGTATATAATACCTACAAGAGGCGGAGACAGGGTTCGAGCTAGACAGCAAGCCGACATGGCTAATCCGTTGACCTTCCCCAGAACCAAAGGCGACGGCGTGGCATCTTTCAACAAGATAAGCGCGCAGGGGATAACGATGATGCCGAAGAAGCTCTGCAAGACCATGGAAAGATAGATTCCCGGCGACACAAGACCAGCAGGCAGAGCAGAGAGGAAAGGCATCACGACGTACGCCAAGGGGTAGAAGATGATGTTTATGAGGAACGACTTCCAGACTCCGACCTTGTCGACGAAGATGGGGAATATGACCGCCTGGATGAACAGTCCGAGAATACCGTTGATGGATAGGTAGACTCCCACGTCGTGGACGGTATACCCCAGACCACCGATCGGATCGATTTGCCCTTGCGGTGTCGCCGGCTTGTCCAACAGGTGTGTAGGCAGGAGGGTGCAGAAGGCCATCTGATGGTAGGAAACCAATACCAACGCCATGGTCACCATGATGATAGTAAAGTTGAAGGCGCGGCCATCGAAGCTCTCTGCTCGCCTTGGTGGTGGCGGGGGTAGACGGATCGAGCACACCGTCCCGAACGACGACCTTCTCAGATCGAAGTTCTGCTCCACGGGCACGGGGAGGCTCTCCTCCACAAATATGGGCCTGTCGACGGTAGCCCGCGATCGGCTCCTGGAGGACGATCTTTGGTTCTTGTGGCGGTGAAGCGGTGTACGCTCATCGATGGTCGTCGTGTCGTCGTCCTCGAAAACACCTTCCTCCGCAATCTTGCCGTGAGGGTTGGTCTCCTCGAGGAACAGCGCGCCCTGGATGATGGCCAGCACAATCACAACGACGGAGACCAGGTTCGGCAGGAGATAGGGGTACCTCCCGAACAATCCATCCTCCGGAAACAAGTCTGGGTAGAATGTCGCCGGTTGAGCTAGGAACCCTCCCATCGCAGATCCGATAATGCCGCCGAGGGTCCAGACGAAGGGTTGCGTGGCATATGCCTTGGGCTCGTGTTCTGGATTCTTGACCATCTCTGCGACCATGGTTTGCATGACCTATTGTAACCCACTTGCGTAAGCAATTTGGAACGTATAGTAAATTTGATTATAAATGCACATGAAAATAGAAAAAGGGGGATGAGGGAAACAAACGAAAGTTACTTACAGCAACATTCCCATTCAACGCACCACCGATAAACCTAGCCAGCAAGGCCACCCAGTACGACTTGGCCAAGCCGAAGATCAGGCTCGAGATGGCGACACCTCCGAGCCCGAAGAGCACGACGGGCTTCCGTCCGTACCGGTCCGAGAGCGCACCCCAGCCAATGGCCGTCAGGGCCTCGGCCACGGCGTACGCCGAGACCAGGAGTCCGGCGTAGAAGGACGCGTCGGTGTCATCGCCGTTTTGCAGATCCTGCACCATCACGTACGTGTACGCGAGGATCGAGTTGAACGCGATCGGCTCTGAGAAGCGACATATTGCTGCGATATGCCAATTAGGATTTTCGTCCGATACATTGTCTCATACCTACCTATGTAGGAGGTACTCTAGCGTCGTAGGGAAGGGTACATAGATCGATATGAGGTAAGGAGGTACACACCAAGTATAGTTAGCTGCTTAGTAGGAAAAGCATGTGAACTCGGATCCTGCGTCCTGTCTGAAGGCATAGTAATTAGGTAGGTACCTAAAATTTTCCGATCCAATTCAAAACGAATGAAAAACGATGATCGTGTGTTTCCTATTAGTGGTTTTTCTTTTCTCCTTTTTCCTAGCTTACTTTTTTTTTGCTTCTTCTACCTCTACCTAGTAGTAGCAGCAGTAGCACTTAGTAGCTCTGGTCGTTGGAGAAGATTGCTGATCCCACCCAGCTTTGAAGGAAGTAGTCTGGTAATAGTACGTAGATAAGTTTGGGAGATGACCTTTTTTCTCTCTTCTCTTTTGCTGTGCGGGGAAGCACACTTGCGACGTCGGCCCGTCGATCACTTGTCTGCTCTTAGGAATTTGCTCGGCAGATCATCCTTGCACTGGTAATGAGCTTATTGTAGGGTGGTTACGAGGTCACAATATCGAGTCAGGGGGTTAGGTGTCGTCTAAGTGAAGTTTAATCGCTAGACGCGCTATGAGTAAATTAGCAACAGTATAGTATACCAGGTGACGAGTTCTGGACAACCCTATAAACCCTCGTAATTAAGCTATACCCTCACGTCCGTACCACCACCCCTTTAGGCAATGATGATCAGCAAAATACTCAATTTTTATATAGAATGTGAAGCTTTGTAGTATTAAGTTTGGGTGTATTAATCACGAAGAATCATGATCTTGCTACATTATGTTGTAGACGATTGCTCTGATTGCTCTAGCCCCTATCGCCTCTGCTTCTTAGGCTTACCGCTCGGTCGCGGTTCGTCATCAAGCCCCTCAGGATCATTCTTCCTCTTCTTACGCCTCTCCTCGAGCAGCTGCTTCATTCCTGGGGTAGCTTTGTATTTAGGATTCGAAGGATCAATGGCGAATTCGTGACTGTCAAAGACAGCCTTGAATCGATCGTCCTTAACATCCATCTCGAACCCTTCTTGAAGACCGCCATGGTCCTCAACTTCCTTCTTTCCTTTCTTCTCATACTTTTTAGATTTCAATTTCTCTATGCGGGTGATCTCGTTCATGTCGAAATGATCAAGATGTTCGACGGCCTCATTGGAGTCATCAGCCATAAGTTTCTCCAGCTGGGCTTTCTGGGCGGCGTTCTCAGCTGCTTCGGCGTCTTTCGCTTCTCGTTTCTTGCGTCGTTCCTCCTTCTTTTCAGCATGCTTAGACTTCTTAACCGGTTCCTCGGTGGTAAAGAAGGGATCATTAAAGCCGAGATCGTCTTGGTCCTCCGCGATCTCATCGTCATCCTCAGCCTCGTCGGGGGCTCCATTTCGCTTCGCCAATACCGCCTCCTTCTTTTTGGCTTTTCGCTCCCGTTCCTTGCGCTTGTACTTCTCCAAGGTAGTCTCCTCTGCTTCCGGTTCTTTCTTCTTTGTATCTTTGCCGTCCATCAATGCGGCGGAAAATGTGACTTGCATGTCTCCAACCGGTCTAGACTTCAAGGGTCGGCTTAATGGTTCAGAACTTAGGCCAAGAGCCTCGCGGAGCTTTTTTGCTTTCAACTCCTTCTTCGTCAATTTTGGTTGGTCATCCGCCACTTCGGCTTGATCTTCCTCTCCGTCGTCTTGGACATCATCATCCTCACTATCACTTGCCAGGTAAGCTCGCAGATCGTTCTCCTCCAGCTCTGCACGGCTAGCACTAAATGCTCGCTTGATATCTTCCTGTCGAGATGTTTCTTCCGGATGGATATCCCATGTGAGTTTGACTTTTGAATGTTGTAGCGCATCGGTTGTGAATTCGGTGGGCTTATAATCAGACGAAATCGATGTGCACTTATCTCTTGGCTCGTCCTCAAAAGTAACATCATCAGGTATGAATCGTAGATCCATGAAGTTAGATGAAGTTTGATACTCGGTTCCATCGGTAGCTTGATAAATCTTATCTGCCGTAGCCGTATCGGAGCACACCATGACAGCATAGTAGTATCGCAATCGATCCAATTGATAGGCTCGGAGCGCATCACTATCGAAGTCCTGGTCATCTCCTTCCTTGAGAATCTCATTCCTTATCTTCTCGTCGTCATCCTCGTCGTTTTCAGTGTCCTCTTCAGAATCCTGTTCAGATTCCGAGTCTTCTGACTCCGAAGCCTTCTTGAAGATTTCCTTGGGCGGGCCTTCCAGCTCTTCGCGTTGCATTCGCTCCTTGCCGAATTCGCTAGGGTAGATAGAAACTCGCTCGATTCGTCCGCCCTTGGGCACGAAACTAGAGAAAAGCGCCATCAAGTCGGCGGATTTGATGTGATCCCAATCCATGTTGACAATGGCTATTCTCTTCGTCACTTCGCCAGCTTCCACCTCTGATTGAGCATCTCGTAGTCTTTGCATGCTACCCGAGTTGTTAACTTCGGTCCCCTCGTCCTCTTCGTCATCATCCTCAGCATCCGAGTCGTCGTCTGAGTCCGATTCTGAGGAAGAAAAGCCACCGCCTCGAGCGGGATCACATTTGGCATTGGCCTTCCGAAGCTCGCGCTCGACAACATCATCCTGGTCCACCTCGGCGTCTTCTTCTTCGTCCTCGTCCTCGTCCTCATCTTCAGCCCGGTATATGTTTTGTAAGGCTTTCTTTTTATTGTCGGATTTCAGT